GTGTACCGGGGGAAGCCATCCGTGAGGAATCATATGACCCGCAATAAGGTCAACACAAGGTAAAGAAGCCAACACCATATGGAAATGTCGCCATCATACTGGCCATGACGTCGTGGACGGAGCGGGTAACCAGCAGAACACCGGACAAGAGCGGGAAGGCAATGCCAGACAGTACAACACATCATGAACCCAAAAAAGGCACACTATCTACTAGATATACCCAAAATAGGCTGAGGACGACAATACACATGAGTCGGGTGGAAAACACATCTAGTTGGAGACAACGGTGAATGGGAAAGGCCGGAATAGTTCAGCCCAATATAATTACCGACGACGATTGCGGTGCCAGGAACCTTTGTTGTACCTACAAGTAGCGACGTCCCCACAAGGTCCACGGACCCGGCGTGTGAAAAACCGAAAGCAAGTGCATGCGGTTCGATGCAATCGAAGCCAAGCCCCCATAATCCGCAAGAAATAAATAGGTCAGCATGCAGACAAAGAGATCAATCCACACACACACCTACCTGGAGAAAACTTGGTCGATCTTGATGTGGGTATGCCCCACAGGCATGAACTGCACCTCCACCTCGCCAATGATGCCCTGGGCGACGAGGGACCCGAGGTAGCCGATCACTATGTGGTTCTTGTTTTCAGACACACAGTTGTCAACTTGGATCGTGAAGCGATAGATGTATGGTCGCTTCCCGACCGGAACGTACATCTCGAACAACCGATGGAGGATCCGGTGAATAGAGGTGCAGATCAGGTTGCAACCTGCGTCGGGAACGCCGATGACAAGTTAGCTGGCACGTGGAGTCGAGGCGAAACCAATATCGACAGCAAGGCAAGTTACGCTTGAAAACATTGAGTAAACAAAGCACAGCCTAGGTGTGCCTACACGAAACACAGATCCGCCTCCAACATGAAAATGAGACGGCGACTCTACATAACACAGTTGGGATACATTCATGGTGGACACACAAAATATTTATCGCCAACCAGACTAACGGCGCCCAAAGGTTCAGCGGTGCAGAGAAATAGATGATGATCGCGACCTTAATGTATCCACGCCTCACCTCCTCCGAGATTCTGCGGGGTGAGGAAGATCTCGACGAACTGGCCCTCTACGTGCACAGCATGCACTTTTTGGCGTTCAGCGTAGCCCCTGAGGTATTTAATTTAACGCGACGAGGTGAACAACATGTGGACAACTCTTCTTGAATCATATATTATTTTCGACTACAGTATAGAAAATTTATGACGGGAAGGCAAAAACAAACGTGATGGACAGCAGCACAGCAACTAACCGTGATCCCATGATCGTTTTTCTAAGAAAAAGGGTATACACCCGCGTCAATGCCCAAGCCACAACGTTTCGCGCTCTATCTATGCATACATGCATCCTCTTCTCTCTACCACCACACGCCCGTACCTACTACCCCTGTCTGTCTCACCTGTCGGTTCCGTGCGTCACGGTGTCTTGCATAGGAAGACCGAACCCAATCTGGCCGGCCGCGTCAGCTTGGCAACTGACGTGTCTCAGAGGGTCCCCGTTGTGCTTGGCTTCCAGGGCCAGCTGCTCGTTCCTCAACAGGCGCGCGCGATCCAGCTCGATAATCTGAGTTGGAGCGAGACAAAATAAGGCGACGAGGGTGGGGCATGTTGGGGCGTAAGTTTGATTGGTCAAGCCCCCCACACCCAGGTGTTGATACGGTGTGCACGTCGGGACGACAGAGAGAGACAGGTATACATTGCGCTTAATTCGCAGGAACAAGATTGGGGGGCCGCATCAACTAACAAAGGGGGGTGCGTTGGGTTGTTGGGTTGTTCGTTGTACCGTCCGCTGCTGAGCACACACTTGCCGCGTAGTAGTATGTGTGTGTGTGTGCGCGCGCGCGTGTCTATGCTCATCCCATCTATTTTGGTGACACCGTCCTTCCGGTCAAGGCAAGATGTGTACCGGAAGCGTCGTAGTTTTCCCCCGGAGGGAGTGTCTAATTTTTTTGCTGAAACCAACGCCCCCAGGGGGAAATGGACGTACAGGGGGGGGGG